TTTTGCATCTCCGACCCTTGGGGAGCTTTGCTAAAGCGAGCTTGCGAGAGCAGCGCGCGTAGTCACTAACAAGCCGATCGAGCCTTTGAAACCCGGCTTGCAAGGCGATGCCAAGACTCTGGCTGCTGCGGCTTGCCTGCAACCACGAGGCATGCAGCTTGGGAACAGTCCTTAAGGGATTACAGTAAACCCTATTAAAATCCCGATTCAGGACTGTTATAGTATAGGGGGGAACATCCCAACGTGCAGCCAATGTCCTTGTTCAGCCAAAGAGCGAGCATGTAGCACACTTGGGGTTGCGAGTCAGCAACTGGCCACCCCAGCAGAAACCGTTGTTCGGAGGTAAATGACGATGCAAAACCTGATGACTGTATAAAAAGTGTGGATCGCGGATCATGTCATGGTGCACGCTTGTAAAATTACGCACATTGTGCAAGACCATGTGCTCAGCCGTGCATGTCGAGCAAGTGAGTTCTACCCCGACACCATGCTGGCATAATTTCCGATTCCCCAAGTATGGCTGTCGCAAGACGGGCAGAATTAGAACCAACCCTCTTCTCTGGGGTAACATGGCTGGGCAAGGATGGCGGAGAGCCCAGGTCTGTACTTCTTGGCGCAAAGTGGAGCAGCTTTACCGGGCGCAGTGGCCGCAGGACAATGATACATTGTTGGTAGGTGTGGTGACCTGGCGAACTGCCACATCCCACTAAGTGAGACGTAGAGAGCCTAAGACAGCACATGACCTGGAGCTCAACTTTCGAGATGTGGATAACCTTCCTTGAACTATTGCATGCATATTCTGTAGCGCCATTACCACTGTCCAAGTTTGGTCGATGCTCTCATTGAAGCGGCGCATGTTTCAATCGAAACGAGGCGACATCTTCAGGACATGAGCCCTGCAATTCTGCATGCAGCAAGTTGTGACAGATCGCCGAAAGGCAACCTCCTAGAGGCTCAATCGGGTTCTATATTCTCGGGCAGCCTACTACACTAGGCCCAAAAACAGACAGACGAGTTCGAACCCGACAAGGAACTCCATGGTGAGTGCTCAGGATCAGCCTGTGCATGGTTTAGGCTTTAGGCTTTAGGCTTTGGGGTTTGGGGTTTGGGGTTTAGGGTTTAGTAGGGTTTAGGCGGGGATCAAGCCAATTCTTGGATGCCCAGATTCTCTTTTCTTCTCGCCCAAAAAGGGCAGCCTTCTCATTCATGAAGAACTTGGTGGGCTAGTAAGCAAGACTGCACACACACAGACTAAAAGGCTCTTCCCCCTGCACCCTAAATGCGGCAAAGAATCTTTAAACCCAGAACCCCAAACCCTTAACCCCCCCCAAACCCTGCTGTGCGAGTCGGGAGCCCCAAAAGAACCTCAAAACCCTAAACCCTAAAACCCTAAACCCTAAAAGGATTTTCGGCGGCTTTTGCAGCTCGACGGGAGCCATGGTTGGCCGCAGGCCTCCACCAAAGAAGCCTTGCAGGCCTGGGCGGGATGAATATTGGGGTCGGAATATGTACTATAGTAGGATTCCCTTATGGCCCCTATACTGCCCCTATATAAGTACGCCATAAAAGGCCCCCAAGGCCCTATTCTAAATATTAAGGCGCCTGTTTTTTGGGGTTTAGGGGGCTTAGGGAACCTGAAGACCGCTGCAAAAGCCTCAAGAACACGGGCCTCGATGAGGTAGAACTGGAAGATTAAGAATCCCCAACAACACAAGGACAAGGAGGTGGTATAGGCTGTGTAAGACTTGGTTTCGGGGTGCGGGCTGGTGGGCGATTTCTGGGGGGGTTCTTGGTGCGCCGTGGCGACTTTTCTTTAAAGCCTGGATAAACATATCTGCGCCCCAATGTTTCATATGCTCCCTGAATCCCTTTAAGGTCTCCCAAAATTGGGCACCCTCTTTTGGGGGTTCCAACAACCAGGCTTTTCGTCATATGGGGCTCGGCTTCCTTTGTGTATTGGAAGTCTTTTCGGGTGCTCGACTGGGAGCCTACAACAAGGGTTTTGGAGTTCTAACGGTTCGGGTTTCTGCCGGGCATTTTAGGGCTTACCTTTGGAGTTTAGATGGGGCATGGGGGTTTATATAGCCTTAAACCCTAAACCTTACAGGGCATAGGGTTTCTAAGGCTTATGGAGCTTAGGTATCATTGGGTTTATAGGATTTGTATTTGCACGTCTTATAGCGATTATGAGATTTACCGGATTTATAGGGATGGGGGGTTGTTTTAAGGCTTACAGGCCTTGTAGGTCATGCAGGGTTTACAGGGATTGCAGGGTGTTGTTTGAGATCTCAGGGTACCCTAAACCCTATAAACCCTAAACCCTAAACCCTATTTTGAGAGATCTAGGACCCGTGACCTGCCAGGTTCTTGCGCGGGCATCCTGGCAGAACATGCTTCACCTCACAGACTTCCCGGCTTCCTGGCCCAAGGGCAACTTAAGAGTTAAGAGGAGGGTTTAGGGTTTAGGGTTTAGGGTTTAGGGTTTAGGGTTTAGGGTTTAGGGCTACAGGACCCTGGGGCTGAAGGGCTTGGAGTTTAGGGGTGTTTCATGGCTTCGATATATGTGGCAGAGAAGCCCCTTTCTCGTACGGAACAGGCTTCGAGGCACGAGCAGCCTGCTCTAGTGGGTTTGACCTGCTAGGTGCAGGCCTTCTCGGGTGCGCGGTGTTTGGAGGTTCTGTAGCTATAAGTACGGTTACAAGTATGGTAATGAAACTTGTAACCCACTTAGGGTACGTATGACCCTACTTATAACTACCCATGAATCTCCAAGTAGGGTTGCATGGTGGAGCCGTGGCTACTTTGGCCGACCCGCGCCAGAATCTTGCACTCTTGGCTTGTGGCAGGAGGGCTCCAGAGCTTGGCAGTTTGCAGGGGATCGGATGGCTGCGATGAGGAGTCAGAAGTGAGGAAACTGCTACATGCCGGCCATCTACACCTGGCAGTGAGTTTTTTTTCCGGGCTTGTAACAGGCACCGGGGGGTCCCTCCGCGACAAAGGTTTGTAACAGACGTGCCGTGTCCGCGACAACCCCCCCCCCCCGCGACAAGGCTACAACCCCCCCCTCCCCGACAAGACAGCAATACCATTGAGTTTTCTCATTGCCAATCTCGATGCGACCTTGATGCGTGTCTGCAGCAACTTTCACTCTCAGTCCGCGACAAGGCCTGCGACAGGGCGCGACATACCCGCGACAACCCGCTCGACTGCTCGAGCCAGCAGGTGCCCATCCGTAGGACAACCTTGAACGAGAAGCCCAGGGTTTATATTTACAGGGTTCAGGGTTCAATGGCTCTCCAGTAAAATCCCTGCGGTCCCATTCATCCGAAACCCCAACCCTAAACCTAAACCCTTTACCCTAAACCCTTACAAAATACCCAACTACGAAAATTGGGTTGAAAGTAGCGGCGCGACAAAGGTATGAAACAACCTGCCCGCGACAAGGCTTGTAACAGAGGGGTGGGGGGACCCCCCGCGACAACCCGAATTTTGACCCACTGCCACCTAAACCTTGACCCAAAACCCTGAACCCTAAACCCGAAACTCTAACCACCAAATTTTTACGAAACCCTTGGTCCTCTGTGCTCTTTTCTGTGGCCGACGTGACCGGTTTAATTTGCTGAGCATGCTAGCCTGGTCGTGTGGCAAAAGAAACCTGTCTACGCAAGTATGCATCCTGCGGTGTTCCGTGCTGAGACAGCTCCCAGTTGGGATGTTACCCCTTATACTAAGAGTCCTTCATAGGGATTCCAGTACCCCTATGATCATCCCAAGGATTGTTAGTACAAGTGGAGGGAACATCCCAAGTTCCCAGTTTCAACCAACGACACGGCGCGATCCCAAGGCTTTCCGAGACAACGCCTGGCCGGCCCACGTCACCTCCGTAGCTCTGAAGATGCCGGTGGCTCGGGTTTAGTGTTTAGGGTTTAGGGTTTAGGGTTTAGGGCATGGGTCTTTCCGGCTTGGAGCTTGGTCCAGGTTCAAAAGGACATGGGTCTTCGGGCTTTGCTCGGCAGTGCGATGACGCTACCATGGTTCACACTTGGGCTTTTCATGAGGTTGAGGGTTTCATGGGGTTGAGGGTTCTAGGGTGAATTTGGGGGTGTCACCACCCCGTAGAAGTAAGCCTTATCAGTCGAATCAACCGACCAGAGAGGCCTAAACCCTAAACCCCAAACCCGAAACCCGTAGCAAGCCCTTGAACCGACCCCTGGGAGGTGAGGACGCAGCCGGACAATTAGAGCTTCACCTGCAGATCGGAATCCTGCAGTCCCCCCCCCCCCCCCTTAAGGGTTTAGGGTTTTTAGGGTTTAGGGTTCCTGCAGCCCCCCCCCCCCCCCCTTTAGGAGGCCCAGGGCATAGAGATTCCGAAGTAAGGGCCTAAAATCGAAACTAGAGGGCTGAGGGCTTTGGGTTGGGGCCGACAGCTTCTTGAAGAGTTTCGTGTGGCTGCGGATCGAAGCATTTGCCGTTGTTGGAGTTGCGAGGGCGTGTGGGACTGGCTGGCTCGAGCCTGCGCAGGCGTGTCAATGTGAGCACCTGTAGGGGAAGTAGGGGAGCTACTGCAAGTAGATACGCATGCCGCATAAGTGTAACTTATGAGCCCGAAACAAGCCCACTTCAGTAGATTCAGGTTCATACAACACTTCCCACTCATGAGCAATTTCGCTGTACCTCCTCCTTGCCGCTCATTCCTGCAAGCCCGAAAACCTCTTTGCAAGGAAACACTTTTTGATGTTATTCGTTTGTCCGAGTGCGTGGTAAGAACCCCGCATAAACCCAGATTGGCCTTGTAGGCCCAGCCGGCCCGAGATTCAAAACCATGCGTTCGGGGTTTAGGGTTCAGGGTTTCGGGTTTAGGGTCCAACAGTTCAAAAGGGTCCAACAGTGAGCCCACAGAGCTTCTCAGTTTGGACTTCTCCGTCCTCCGCGTGCTGCGCGTGCCCTTTGCCGCCTTCGCCTGGAAACTCTTGCACGACGTGCCGCTGCCCTGGGTGAAGATGCTGGCCAGCAGGCCCCGGTTTCGGGTTTAGGGTTTAGGGTTTAGGGGCTAGTCCTCAAGCCCAGTTGCAAAAAGGGTTTCGGGGCTGAGGGCTGAGGGCAAATAATGAGCAGAGATTTGGTTTTTATGCACAAAGCTTTGCATGCATGGGATTTGAGCTGGATTCGGCGGCGGGGCAGGCCCATCAAGAATCTGCTCATTTAGAGGCCGCGGCTTCCATCGCATAAACTTATCACTCCGGTTTCCACTTGAAACTCAAGTTGCTTTCGCTAGCACTGTCAAAGCCCCAAGTCCCCGGTTGCGACGAGCTTCCCCTATTAGGGCCCGACCAGCCTAAATGTACCTTTCAACATTGATTTCGGCGGGTTTAAACAAGATGTTTGCCCTGGGCGGAATGCTTCAGTATGTCTAGAAAGGGCGTAACGTTGCACTGGCTTTAGTAAAGCTAGGGTCTATAATCACAAGTTCCGAAAACTTATTCTGTGAACCGAGTTTGTTGGTGTAACCCCTATTCTCACAAGTTTTTTTCCGGACGGTTGTTTTTTGTTAGGGTTTGTGTTTAGGGTTAAGATGGGTCAAGGGCTTACGCAGTAAGGCTTGAGGCCCTGAGGGCCTTGGGCTCCAGGATCTTAAAGCCTGGCAAGTTTCAGGCCTTAAGGTCCTGAAGGCTTGAGACCCTGAGGGCGGTTCCTATAGAGGGTCCAAATTTGTTTGGGGGGGCCCTATATATTAAAGCCAGTGCAACATTATGTGAACGTCAATGTTCATGTCCATTTTGAGTTCCTAGGTGAGTTGCTAGTTCAAGGGAAACCTGAGACACAGGCCCGCGGTGCGAGAGGGCATGACTTCCTCGCGCGCGGCATCCTGCGACGCTTGGAGAGCACCATCAACCTGGGTTTAGGGTTTAGGGTTTAGGGATGTTTCGGGCTTAGGGTCGGGGTCAGTTCCCACAGCTTCGAAACCCGAGAGCCCCAATGCTTTCGACAGGGTTTCGCAGGTTGATTTGTCAAAAGCCTCTGCCTGGCTAAAGCAACAGTATATGCCTGGGCAAGCATGCTGATCTGAAGATACCCAAAACCCCAAAACCCCAAAACCCCAAAACCCCAAACCCCCAACAAAAGCACCTAAACCTAAACCCTAAACCCTAAACCTAAACCCTAAACCCTAAACCCTAAACCCAAAACCGTAAAAACCCTAAACACCCTAAACACCCTAAACACCCTAAACACCCTAAACACCCTAAACACCCTAAACACCCTAAACACCCTAAACACCCTAAACACCCTAAACACCCTAAACCCTAAACCCAGCCACCGGCACCACCGTTGCGGCGACCCGAGGACTCTGAGTCCAAAACGCTGACAGCGGATCTCCTCAGCGAGAACAACTTACAAGGTGGGCCGTGCCCTGAAATTTCGGGCCATTTACCCTATACTACTATCATCCCGATCAAGGTATATGAACCATAAACCCTTTTAAGGTTTATTTGGTCCTGAAGAGTTACTAGTAGTATTCCCCATATGGTGCCTATATTATTATACTAGAGTAACCCCCCCAAAAAAAAAAACAATAAACATAAAAAAATAATAACAAAAATCATTCGAATTATTAGGGACCCTATATTTGATACCCCAAGCCCCCCGACGCTGGCTTGATGTAGAGCAGCTTATGCCTACGCGGTATAGGAGCCCTACAGTGGATATCCACATCCTTGGCTATGAGGTTTAGGGTTTAGGGTTTAGGGTTCAGGGTTTAGGGTTTAGGGTTTAGGGAACTGTAGCATGCCCTGCGGGCTGGCAGTGAGATTTTCTTATTTGGTATGTTCTCAGGCAGTTGGTTGTTCTGGATCGACTGCGGTGGTCCTTCGAAAGCTGTAGGGTGCAACGGTTTGGCTACGGGACTTTGAGCAGCCATTGTTTCTCCGCGTGTCGTCAAGACCCGGCAGTGCACTTCGTCCAGCAGAGCTGGAAACTCGAAGCTCGACAACCTAAAGCCTATATGTGCCTTCCGAAAGAAGTCAGCCATTCTACAGCTACAGCCCCAGACTTAGAACATCCCAGAACCCTACATTCTAGGGCACTTAGGGTAGGGGAACCCTATAACTATAGCGCTAGAACTCCAGAAGCCTTCTAAACGCCGTTTTTTCTTCAGGCTCGCAGCAGTTGTCCTCGAGGGCTGGCCTGGTGGTCACCCCAGGCCCACCTTTAGGGTTTAGGGTTTAGGGCTTAGGGTTTAGGGCTAGCCTGGTAGGGGAGCCAGTCGCCTTTCAAGCTTTTATTTGGGGGGCTTAGGGGCATTATCCCCGCATCTTTTTCAAGCCCTATAAGCCTTCAACCCTGGGACGACATGTAGGGCTCAGGATTTGGATGGTGTCTTTTCTTGCTTTCGCCCTCAGGACAGGCAGAGATGCCACCAGGCTTAGCTTCGAAGGTTGTGAGCCTCAACTCGCCCAAGCTCTGAACGGTTCAGGGCTTTGTGGTGAGTTGAGGGCGATGCACGTGCAAAGAGACCCAGTATGCAATATTTTTAAGCTGGTGGGACATGAGGGTGTTTGTGGCCTGAACAAGCTGTGTATGGTCAAAAGGAGCCCGAATGAATCCTGCACCTCAAGGTCTTCCGAGAAGCCGTTAGCAACAAGCTAAACAATCGGAATCACTTGCCGTGGGGCGCGTGCGGGAGTAAAGGCACAGGAGTAGAGGCTTTGTCAGTTTATGGATGCTTGGCCTTACACTAGGTCTCCCAAAAACCCGACGTAGGAACCCCACAGGCTTGTGGATTTTGCGGGCTGAACCCGCAATGGGGTGTGTGCGCTCGAGGTGGTTTCGTGACGGCTTCTGGCTGCCAAGTGGGGGCCTCACATACTCTCGTTTAGCGGGGGTGCTGCTGGGGATCTACATTGCAGGGGTCCGATCGCATCCTGGGGTGCTGTCTCTTGCTTTCTTGGGAGCATCCAAGAAATTGGGTCGGGTGTTCATAGCAACGACTTTGTTCCGAAAAGGGTTGCAAGAGAGAGCTGCCTGTCAGTCTGAAACTTCAGGTGGTGCCATGTCCAGCTGTAGAACTTTGGCACTGCTGTTGGATCGCCCCCCATAAAACAGGTAGCACGAGTCTCCTTCTGGGTGTCATGAAGCCACGAAAGCCCAAAATCCCCACACGGAGAATATAAGCTTCCCAAGATACCCGCTATAATAAGACTGTAGTGCAAGTGCTTAAGCAGTCGGGTACCGTAACCTTCAATCTTCTAGTGGTTGAACCCAGTTCCGTCCCCAAGGCTTCCCCTAAACCCTAAACCCTAAACCCTAAACCCTAAACCTTAAACTTAAAAGACTTGAGGTGCGCAGCCGGGTGGCTGCGGGAATGCGCGAACTGGCGACTTGATTGAATGATGGGGGTTTCCGAAATTTGGGGGGGGGGGGGGTACCTTGTTTAGAGTTTAGGGTTTTGGGTTTAGGGTACCTTATTGGGGTCCTTATGATAAGGGACTCCTACTATTTAGGGGCTCTATATTGGGGGTCCCCTATTTTCCTAAACCCCCCCCCATATCATGCTTAGGGTTTCCAGCCCCCTGTGACTTTTGGAGGCGGCGACGGAGGGAGTTTTGCGTGGTTAGTTTTTTTGGGGGGGGAGCACGTGCAAGGTTTACCCTGTGATTGCGTTTTGCAACTCTTGGGGCCTGGTTGCATGCTTTATTTAGTACTTCTATCTGGGGTTTAGGGTTTAGGGTTTAGGGTTTAGGGTTTAGGGCTTTTGGGGGGCTTGACGGCAGCAGGGGCTTCGACTTGCAGCGCGTAGGCGGGAAGGCATGGAGAGTCCAAGCCAGAAGCCACATGCCAGGACGGGCTTTTGTACCCTTTCAGCCCATAAAAAGGGCCTTTATAGGGTTGATTATAGGGATTTTTTCACCCTTTCATCCCACAAAAAGGGCCTTTATAGGGTTGATTATAGGGATTATAGGGCCTAATTAATAGCCCATCCTGGTGATTTTGAAGGTGCAGATTTGGCGTGTTGCGTTTCGAAATATGTTTGGAAGGGTTGGGACTTCACATGTCGGATGTGCCCTTTCCTGTCGGCGGTGGAGGTACGCACCACCCTCAACCCTAAACGCCCCTAAGCCCTAAAACCCAGAACCAAACACCCCAAAATCCAAAAACCCTAAAAACTTGGTACGCTTCTAACCCCCAAAAGCCACACCCCAGATTCCAAACCAACCTGAAAGCCTAAACGAGTCAAAACTCAAACAGAAGACACCAAACAAGAAGCCCTAAAGCCCTAAGCCCTAAGCCCTAAACCCTAAACCCTAAACCCTAAACCCTAAACCCTAAACCCTAAACCCTAAACCCCAAACAAACCTTAAAAGACAAGCCAGGCCAAAGCACTTCCGGGGCTTGGGCTGGTCGGCTGGAGCCAGGGCTGGTCCTCGAGCTTCCGCGACGGGAGCCAGCTGTGCGGCCTGGTACGACTCAAAAGGGAGAACAGGGTTATTTTAAGGGTTTTAGGGTTATTTTGGGGGGTTTTAGGGGGTTTAGGGTTTAAAAAGAGAGCAGGGTTATCTTAGGGGTTTTGGGGAGTTTAGGGTTGAGAACAGGGTGATTTTAGGGGTTTTAGGGGGTTTAGGGTTTTAAAAGGGAGAACAGGGTGATTTTAGGGGGTTTAGGGTTTTAAAAGGGAGAACAGAGTTTTTTAGGGGTTTATGGGTTTTAGGGTTTCAAGGGGGAGAACAGGGTTATTTTAGGGTTTTTGATGCCAAAGGGTTTTAGGGGCTTATGGTTTCGAATGCTTAGGGGAGAGAGAGAGAGAGAGTTTAGGGTTTAAAAACATCGTGTTTGGGTCCAAAAAGTGTTTGAACGAAATGTTCTGAACGAAGTGTTCCAACGACAGTCTTGAACGTTTATTGATTTGGAATCTATCCTCTCAATGATTTTAAGGGGGCCTCGCATTCTGGCGAGGGAGAGTATGTGTTAAGATTTCAGAAGCATTTCCATGTATTTGATTTTTTGGATGGTTCCCAAGGTGCTCAGATCTTGAGGCAAGATCTGACATTCGGGAAATGAAATAGGATGTCGAGGACACCAAATTTTCGGTGAAGGCCCCATCTGTTTGAGTTCTATGAAGACAACATGTGGATCTCTGATTCTGTATCTCTAGAGGGTGTTTTGAATTTAGAAACGAATAGATAACCCTGTGAAACTTTTGAGAACTTTTGAAGTTCTGCTAGGAAGTCGCAACACTCTGCAAAAGCCGATCAAGATACAAGCCTAGAACCTGCTGATCTTCAACGACCCAACGATGCCTCAGCTATGCATGCTGTTCTGGCGAGGGCCAACTTTCACTGGGAATACAAAATGGTCTTTTCATCCGGGGCCTGTGAGAACAGGTTTTTTTCAGTTGAATTGTATTGAACGAGGGGCCTGGGGGGAGGAAGGTAGGCTTCGATTGTGGGACGTAGACGAGAGCCATTAAGGCTTCCGAGTCATCTTTTCTCGTGGTGGCTTCAAGGCTCATCCAACAGCAGCCATGCCCAAGCCCAGGAGGTTCAAGTACATTGAACATTTGACACCCCACGAGCAATATGAACTATGTAAGATGGGAGACTCAGAATGACATCACATGTGAGGGTTTGGACACCAATTTCAAGGGGTGGGATACTATTCTCACTAGCACCGAGGCTGAATTCTAGAGTGGTGGCGGCAGACCCAAACCACAATTCCCTGAACTCTGAATTCCTGTGGGCTTTTAAAGACGCGGGTTTTAGTTGAGTTTTTTTCCAGAAGCCTGGCGAACCCGAATTGGCCCGTCTACCCCACCAAGCGAAACTCCACACACCCTCAAAAGCATCCAGAATCCAAGAGATTGGCATAACATCGAATTGCTATAGGAACCCGAAATGCATGTTTAACGCATTTGCCCGAAATCCTGAACCCATAAAACATGTAATGATTGTAGCCCAAGCCCCGCCAGAAGCCCAGGCTTCTTTTGCGAGCGCATGGAGCCCGGAGAGGCTTCAGAATTAATTAAGGGTGAAGGGTGCCAAAAAAAGGATTTATATGGGGTTTAGGCTCAGGGTTTAGGATTTTTTTCAGAGTTCGTTGATGGGCTTTTAGACGGGAAATTCCGGCTGCGAGCACCGTAGGCTACATACCTCCGTTATTCTTACGACTACGCATGCTACGGCTTTCGAGCCGTCCCTGCATCTCGGTCTTAGCAACCCTCCTCGAAGTCCGGAAGCTGGAGCACCCCCGCTGGAGGAGCGCTGCCCGCAGTGCAAAGATGCCCGGAGCTGGTCCACCCTCTCTGCCACCTTCAGCATGAGCTTCGCGGCGGAAGTCCAAGGGGATCCAGTGCAGGCCGGACCTTATAGCTCTGCAAGTATACTGTTTGGGGGTGCCGGAATTCTTATGGTCCCTACATATTCATACGATAATAACTCCAAAACCCTGTTCTAATTATTAAGACGCCCATAGTACAGGCTTTCTGTAGGAGTGCATGTTAAAGCCTGGCAGCTTGTGGATTCTGGTGTTTAGACACTGTGCCAACCCCTGCCCAAGCCCGATTGAATCTTGCCCTGACCGTGCGCCTGGGCATGTGTGGGGAACCACGAACCTCGCCACACATGCGACATTTTTCAAAAAACTCATTTTTTATGCGCAAACCATGGAGATCAAATGAGCATCACGCTGGGCGTGATTCATAGAAGACCAGGGCATGGTTATCCTTCGACTTTCGCTCTCGCTTTGCAGAGAGAAGCTTACTTTCCATTTAGGGTTTAGGGTTTAGAGTTTAGGGTTTAGGGTTTGGGGTTTAGGGTTGTTTGCATGATATGGATTTGCGACACCACTCACCGATGAGGTCCCATCCTTCAAGCTTTACACGGCTTGTACTTGTTTTCGACATTCGGATGCGCTAGGTGCGCAACGCTCATCTGCCATATTGGTTGAGATGGCGGCAGCATTTTTACAGGGCATTCTGCATCGATAGCCCAGCGCCAGTTGGACAGATGAGTAGAAACATTACGTGAGCTGTTCTCCTGAAGTTTGTTTGCGCCAGTTTCATGTTGCTACATCTCCGCACGCTTCAGCAACCACCGATTGGAGCAAGCTCCGCAGCATCAGTCGGCACACCTGATGCACGCACAGTATACGTACTACCATTAATTGCTACTGCTAGGCCTTTCAGCACGGATTTTTCTCGCACATGGTGGATGGGAGTAAGATTCTTGTTTTTGTTTTGTGTGTGCGCGTGGGTGGGTGGGTTGGTGGGTGGTTGGGCGGTTGGGTGGTTGGGTGCGGGTGGCTGGGTAGGCGGGTAGGCGGGTAGGCGGGTGGTGCCTGTGCATTTGCATTCTGGTTTGCGTGCGTGCAGCAGGTGAGATACCCGACAAGCCGTAAGGAGGACTAACCTGGTACCATAAGACAAAAAGGACGCGGAACTTGTTCAACCGGACGTTTTAGGAGTTATCAGTTCTCGATGCGCAGTTTGTGGGTTCAGGGTTGACTTGCTCTGCTCTACTGTTTGAGTGTAGGGGAGGCGCGCGTCAGGATTGAGAACTTGTTGCTGTCAGTCTGCTGCATGGCAGGTGGAATTTGCAATTGAGGCTGCTGCTCTTCCATTCGTCAGCATCAGCTCGGACGATAAATTTCACACCGAGCTGGAGAAGCTCATTTCGCAGACAGATGCGGTCGAGGAAACATGCGTCACTGATGGTGCAGAAACGATGTCAGAGGTCGATGAAGAAGAAGAGGAGGCAGTTGAGATGGGCATCTTCGCTAATGGCAGTGTGGCGGTCGTGGAATGAAGCTTTGTCTGTCCTGCCACCGTTTCGCAACATCGCCCTCTCCAACTTGCGCACGCCTTTGAATTGATGCGGACAAGCATCTGCGATGATGTCGCTCCAGGCAGGGCTTTCTGTTTTACATGGTTGATTCTTTCAAAACTGTACAAAGTGGCAAGGCATAGTGTTCTGAATCAGATCATCTCGTCATGCAGCCCCATAAGGGGTTGGCCCATGACCAATGGACCAGATAGGGATCCAAGACAAGACGCCGATTCGGAAACCTCGCCGCGCTCGCATGTTTCGCCCCATGGACCTTTGCACCCAAGAGCGGGTGCATGGAGGTCGATGTAAAGAGGCCTGGGTGGCTCTCTGGGGGTTTGCAGACCACTCTAGCAGTCTCGATTGGTAGCATTAAACATCCTTTTTCAAGGTGGGCTCAAATTAAGTCAGCTATTGAAAGCGATTTCTTGAAGCGAGGGTCGACTGCCTGAGCGCGTTAGATGGACGGACGATCCCAGCAGCACCAGTTGAGATTACAGCTGCGCAGTCTTTCAAGGCATTCAAGTTTGCTCTGGGATCGCCCCAGATTGACATAGGTTACACCGTAGGTTTGATATTTGCCCCCAAGAGGCATGGACGCCCTCCAAACCTCTCGCAAGCTCCGACAGTCAGAATTCTGAAGCCCCAGTTCGAACCAACGCGCCTCGTGAGGCTTGGAGGGTGATCTTGCCCCATAAACCCTAAACCCTCAATCTGTGACCACGCTCGAGCCGTGCATTGGTTGGAGCATCACCTGGGTTGCTTTGCTTCTGGGTTGTGGACTCAGTCTTGTGTAACAATCCTTATTGGGACTGATCTCTTGCACGCCTTCCTCTGCAGGCTTTGAAGTTCAGAGAGATTATCAGGGATCAGGAGAGGTTTGTTCTTGACGGGCGATGGGGCTTCTTGGCAGAAAAACCAGGAGCGACAAGCAACCCTTGACTTGGCACAGCACGCCGCGAGCGTGCAGCTTCACGACAGCTTGCAGAGAAAGAAAAGAGACTCTAAGTGGGGGGGCTTTCCGGGGTTTAGGGTTTAGGGGTTTGGGGTTTGGGGTTTAGGGGTTTGGGGTTTAGGGTTAGGGTTCCGAAGTCTGCACACCTCCTGGCAGGGGCCGGGCAAAAAGGGGGCACCATTCGACAACGGCAGCTCTTGGTTGCTATACCTTAAGCCCTTGGACCTCACAACCCAAACCAAGCTTGGGGCAAATCGTCACAAGGTGGTGCCAGTGTCTGCTCCGAGTTGCCAAGTCTGAAGTGGACCTTACTACACTTCCAGTACAAGCTTGATGACAACAATGGCTTCAACGTTCCCCTAGCTATTTTAGAAAGAAACACAAGGAGGAGACGATGGCTTGTGGCTTTGGTTTGCGGGAGTTGAGCTTCTGGGCTGTTGGGCTCTGAAATGGAGAACGGAGATTTTCACGCGGAATTGGGTGCCTCAGCGTGACCTGCAAGGGTTTGGGGTTTAGGGTTTAGTTTAGGGTTTAGGGTTTAGGGTTTAGGTTTTGGGGTTTAGAGTTTAGGGTTAGTTAGGGTTTAGGGTTCTCGTTCAAAAGGGTTTAGGGCTCCCAAATTCATCTATGGTTTAGAGACCTCGTTCAAAAGGGTTTAGGGTTTCCCACAGTCCATCTTGTGCACTTTGGTCAACTTGCCTCACCCGGAGTGAGGCGTCTCAAATGCGCGGGTCATGGCCATGTGGGCTTGCTGTGCCAACTATCTCCCCCTTGGGAAATTTGTTATTTTTGTTTAACACCCAAGAGGATATTTATATTGTTTTTATTAAGGTTCTAAGGGGAGTATGGCCAAATCCATCAGCTCCCTCAGTTTTCACTGGGGTGTGTACTTGGAGGTTCATGGGTTCTCAGTACCTTACTTATAACTATACTCATGAACCTCCAAGTATTCATTCCTGGGCTTGTCCCGCGTGATACTGGTTATGGCAGCAACACAGCCGAGACGTTCGCATCGACCCCCATCCTCGACCACAGCTTCGATGCGCGAAACCGGCCCTAGCATTATGATTGTGATTATTATTATTAATCCATTATTATTATTGTTATAATAATAATAATTATTATTAATCCATTATATGGTGGCATTTATAGTGTGTTATTAGTCGTGGTCTTTGTCTTGTTTCTGGGTTTTCCTTGGCTGCTCGGAGAGCGCCAGTGTATGCCCGTCCCGTCACATGCCCCGGCCTCAGCACGGGTTCAGAAAAAACTCACCAACCCCACAAAGTTACACGTCCTGAGCCTGGTACCTCAACCCAAAACCCCTAAACCCTAAACCCCAAACCCTTTGGTGGTGGTCAGGCCGAGCTGGAGGACAATGCTGTGGCCTCGAGGTTGATGGTTTCGGGTTGATTGAAGAACTCTTGACAACAAACAGATGCTGGTTAGGATTCTTTGCGTGCTTTGGGCGTTGCATGCGCTGCCTAGAAGCTAGGTAGGAGTGCCAAGTTCAACCCTTCCCTCCACCGATGCTGCAGAGGAGGTTGTGGTTTTTCACTTAGAAGGGCCTTGATGCTCTTGAAGCCTGGCACAAAATCTACTGTGACCCCAACCTTGAAGCCGAAGAAGCGCAGAAGGTCGGAACAAGCACAGCGGTCCTACCCTCGCATATCCCTAACTTCATGGCCCTCGGCCCTCTACCCAGGTAAAGCCCTTGCAGGAAGAGGGCATGAACTCCTTTAGATCTGGGGCTTCTGGGGTGTGCCAGGGAAACACTTAAGTTCAGCACGCGAGCACGAGCTTGTTCTAACTGTGTGCCGAGGCTACTTTGGTTCCCTTGGGCAAGGCTGTCGAAAAGGATCGCGCCCCGTTTGATCCTGCCACGTCTTGTGTTGTTCAGTCCACTCCGGCCACGCATGCCAAAGAGCCCATTGGGGCATTTCCCGAAATAGGGGTATCCCGTTTCTACCCCAAATAGAATAGAATCCCCTTAAAGGGACCCCCCCAAAAGGGTACCCCTATTTTCGGAAACCCCCGTTGCGAGACAAAGATTAGGACTAGGACACAACGATGCCAGCTCAGTTTAAAGGATGCAAGTGTGTAGTCAGCTCATCCCTGCTTGTTTCCTAGGTAGGATAAGGGGGACCCTCAAAAGGGGACCCCTTCTTAACCCTCTTCTGGCTCTCTTGAACAGGGACCTTATTCAGAGGGTCTAGATCCCCAAGGGTACCCCGAATGCTATCCCCTATTGTTTGAGCCCCTGAGACCTCTTCGTAGAGTCTGCCGGGTGCCTTCTTTCCCATGTGCCGGACGGACCACCGTTCTCTGCATGAAGCCAAGTATCAACTGACTGAGTTCCAAGGTTCAGGGTTTAGGGCTTAGGGTTTAGGGTTTAGGGCTTAGGGTTTAGGGGTTAGGGTTTTTAGGGTGAATTGAAAGATGTGTGCAGGGACTGGTCTTGCGTTCGGCGCGCGCCCTCATGATCGACCTCCGAGGACGCAGCTCGACTGTCCTGTCAGGTCAGGGTTTAGGGTTTAGGGTTTAGGGTTTAGGGTTTAGGGTTTAGGGTTTAGAGTTTAGGGTTTAGGGTTTAGGGTTTAGGACTGACATTCCCACACTCACACGTTAACTGCATGGCGGTGCAGACTCCCAGAGTCTTTTTGCTTTTGTCTGTGCAGGTTGCCGGTGCCCGCACGCGTGCACACAGACACTGACACTGACACAGACACGCTTACTGTTGCTCAATCCTTCCACTGACTCGTCTCATACTTTTCCAGGTGTGCAGACATAGCCACAGGGCAAAGACAATGGAGATTTTTACAGCCCAAGGATGGTGTACAGTTTTGCCGAGACTTCCTAAACATCGCACGCAGTTTGTGGACTGAACTAAGAAAGACACAGACACCATCGAGCATGATGCTTTAATTGCCTCCAAAGTTCTTCATGTACCAACAAGCGCACGTCGCTCCAGTTGATTCCGCTAGTACTAGGAGCCCTCCCCGCCCCTTCCTCCCTTACGCACGCACGAACACCAGGAGACTGAGAGGACAAGTTATTCACAAGAGGTACATTGAAACATGCATCTTTTCGGCGGCAACATGCCCAGAAGGGAAGACGCGTGTCGGTCATTCGGCAATCTCACGTTCCAATGGTCTGGATTGTTCGTGCCCCATTGTCGATGCTGCCCAGAAGTCTTTGCATGCAACCAACTCTACCAGTAGGCCCTCGCAGCACCATCATGGAACGAAGCATTTCCGAGTAGCCAGGCCGTGGACGGGTAAAGTCTGAGACCTTGTGCCAGTTAGCAGTTTTTTGGGCCTCACCTTGAATATTTTCGGGCATTCGGGATGTTTACCCTTAGGCTCAACATTGCCCAAAAACCTGTTCATTTTCTGGCCTTTGGGCCCAAAATCCTTGAAATAGGAATCCTTGGGGCCTTAGGGTTAGGGTTCAATTTGGAGCGCGATCAGCCCTGCACTCCTGAGACTGCTAAAAACCCTGGAGGCGTGTGCCGTAGCTCTTATTTTGGGTTTCGGAATACTGTACTTTTTTTTTTGGTTCTGGTTCCGATTATGGCTTTTAAAAGTATATACTGTTTTTCCAGGGTCTACTCCAAAGTAGGGTGTGTTCTGTAAGATAAACCCGCCCTTCGTGTCTGTGAAGCTTCCGTAAGTCTTGGATTCACTCCATTTTTCCACTTTCTTCAGAGAGGATGAAAAGACGGGTTTGCTCCTGCAGCCAGGGCCCCGGAACTACAAAAGCTTTTCTTGAAGGATATGTAGCGAAGGCGATGGAAGACCTTTAACCGCCTTTCGGGCCCTTAGAACCCAACTCAGAGGTGAACCCTAAAACCCTAAACCCTAAGCCCCAAGCCCTAAGCCCTAAGCCCTAAGACAGACGGTTTCAGGCATCCTTGTCGGACGCCGCGACGTCACTTGGCCAAAACCTAGCCATCCTCTCTCGTCATATTAGATAGATAGATGTGTGTTTGTGTTTGTATTTGCAATTTATGAAGTAGTATTGGTTAACC